ATTTATATTGAGTGATAGTTCTTTCTTTATTTGATTCTGATAAAGCTTCTTCTTGAAACTTTGTTCGGCATCGATGTGTTGAGTCGTTTTACCATAATGAAGAGAATCATCAATTGATCCAATTAAATGGACTTTGCACTTAGGTGCAACACATGAATAATACCCTTCCCTTATTTTTTTAAAGCAGTGATTTTCGTATATAATCATATCCTTTTTTCTTTGAGATAGTATATGAACAGGACCCACAGGTGAAAATTTTTCATAAGAATTACTGTCGTTTTCGGAAGGGTTTTGAGACATTTGATTATTAAATAATAATTAGTTTTTTGCATTGATAAATAATAAAAATTAACAATCTAATATTATTTGGTTTTAATTGTTAAATGATAATTATATTATAATTTTTTTATGTTGTGAATTTAAAAAAACATGTAAAAATTTATAAACTTTTTCTGAATAACAATTTTGGCTTTTTTATTTTCAATGGATACTTAAATATTTTTTGCCGAGAAAAAAAATTAATAAAAAAAATAAAAATAAAACATCGAAAAATATATTTTTTGAACTTTATGTTGAAGTTACCAATTGTCCAAGTTACGAGATGTCCTTTTACCAACTGATGTTGCCTAAAGTTGGTAACAATAAGTAAAATGTTCTTCAATTATTATTTTGTTATTTGTTTTTTCTTTTTTTCAAAAAATAAAACCAACATTTTTGTTTTGCCTGAGTATTATTTAGAAGTGTTTCGAATGTGTTGTTAATAATATATTTATATTAGAAAAAATAGATAATATTACTCAAAATGTATTGTTTTGATGTAATTATAATATGTATCAACGGCGATCTTCCTTTTAATCAAACGTGCAAATTTTTTGAAAATTGTAACTTAGTTGCATTATTTTCGAGTTGTCAAGTTAATTATTTTTTGTCTTTTTATTTTTTTATTAAAATAATAATAATCCAACAAAAACAATTCGAAAATTGTAAATAAATTAAACAAGCAACAAAATACAAATAATCTTTGGTTAAATAAGAATATAAAACCAATTGTACGAATTGTTTATTTGTTTTATTGGAAATAATAAACTTGTATTCCAAAGTTGCCTTATATTAAGAATTGAGTTTTAATTGTTTTATACATAAAATAAAATATTTTACATTAATATGAAAGTTTAAGTACATTATTGAAAAAAACATTAAAGTAAGGAGAAAAAGTAGCACCAGGAAAAAAAGTCGCACCACATTCTTTGTTATTCTTTTTGATTTTTATTTGGATAAAAATGCATAGCAAAACTTGACCTTGTATTATTCCAAATTATTGATAAAAAGAATGTTCTTATTATTGGTCTGAAAATTGGGTTTCACTACTATTTGAAACTTAAATAAAAACAAATAATTAATTGATTATTAATTCGATTTGAATTTTTTAATATTCAATTAAACAATAAAACAATAATTTTTAAAATAATAAAATTTGATACATATTAAAGCTGGAAAGTTTACTTTCAAATAATATTTATATCGTATTATAATAATTATTAATTAATTTAATATAATTATTATTAAAAATTAAACATTGATAATTTGTTTTAATTTATAAGTATAATAAGATAAATTAAAAATTATAAAGCAAAAATAAATTGATTATTTTAACAATGA